CAAGGAACTATGAACCTGCACTCCAAGGTCTCTTTGTTCAGCAGTACTCCTCAGGACCTTACCATTAAGTGTATAAGCCCTGCCTGATTTGCCTTTCCAAAATGCAGCACCACAAATTTATCTAAATTAAACTCCATCTGCCACTCCTCTGCCCATTGGCCCATCTGATGAAGATCCCGTTGTACTCTGAGGTAACCTTCTTCGCTGTCCACGACGTCTCCAATTTTGGTGTCGTCTGCAAACTTACTAACTATACCTCCTATGTTCATATCCAAATCGTTTACATAAATGATGAAAAGCAGTGGACCCAGCACCCATCCTTGTGGCACACCGCTTGTGATCAGCAACAGCACCCTCTGGTGGAAATACAGAACTCCAGGCAGGAGGAGGCCGTAGAGAGAAAAGGTGATGGGAGGTGATCGGAGAGGTGCATCATTTGATGGTGCATAGGGTTGAAGGTCTTGTAAACATGTCATGAATGTCAAACTCATCTGATTCAGGGATAATTCAGCTGAGCTTTCTGAGCCAGCATGAGGAGGATGGCATGTAACAAACAAAGCAAAATGCTGCAGATGATGGTAGTCTGAAATAAAAACAAATGCTGGGGAAACTTGGGTGTGGCAGCATCTGTAGTTTAATGTTTTGAATCCAGTATGACACTTCTTCAGATATGAATAGGGCTAGAAAAAGCTGGAGGGTTTTTAATGCTGTTGACAGAAAGGGAGAATGAGCAAATGGAACCGAGCAAAAGACAAAATAAGTGCTACTGGTGGTGGTAAAGAAGACAGTTGTACAAACGTATAAATGATAGGTGTGAAAAGGAGAAAGTGGATCCACTTTGCTGAGATCAAAACCAAGAAAATAAAAACAGGGCACGGTGGGGTGGTGGTTGTAATCAAAATAGAGAACAGAGTTGAATTTAATCTTGAGTCTGAGAGGGTGTAAAGTACTTGCGTGGAAAACTTGCTTTGAGCTTCATTAGAGCGCTGTAGCAAACTCAGGACGGAAACAATTAATATGAGAGCAAGATGGTTTATTGAAATGGCAAGCAACTGAAAAGCTGGGGTGATTCTTGCAGACAGAGTGGAGGTGTTCCACAAAGCAGAAAATGCTGGAGAAACTCAGCAGGTCTGGCAGCATCTGTGGAGAGAGAAAATGTTAACATTTGAAATCCGAATTGACTTTACCTCAGAACAGAGGGAGCAACTTTAATTCTGTCTCTCTCTGCAGATGCTGCCAGATCTGCTGAGTTTCTCCAGCATGTTCTGTTTTTATATCAGATTTCTAGCAACTGCATTCTTTTGCTTCTATAACCTTTTGGCTTCCAAGTTTAAGTGCATAGTGCAGACAAAGGAAGTTTGCTGTTTGTAATTTGCTATATAATAATGCTGGATGTTATAGCTTTGCTGTTATTCTTACCATAAATTCTGGGCCCTTATGGAATTTTTTTTGTCTAAAAATTTTGGGTTGGGTGGCTTAAGGGAATTAATTTTCAAATTGTCACCATTATAACAGTGGATAGCCTGGAATTTAGTGTATCTTTAGATTTGAGATATGACTAAATCAGTGTGCCCAATTTATTCAGGTCTTTTAAGACAATTATATAGTTGAGAGAGGAACAGTGGGTGGGGTTTGATAGACCATTGGAGGTAAGCAGTAGATAAGACAGTTATTTGTGTGATACCAGCTTAGTACATTATTTTATGAAGAAGCTAAAATGTTACAGTTTTAAAAGTATTACAGTTTCAAGAATCTGAAACCAATTGTTTAATTACTGTAGTGGTGTGGTATGTTTAGATCCCCATTGAGCACTTGCCACATAATGGAAGCAAATGTATTTGAAATATTTATCTTTTAAGTAGCCTGATTAAACAGGACTGCCCCAATTTTAATACCAATTCCTGCTCAAATCTTTCAGGAAATTGTCAATTGTAACATTCAGTTTGGTGTGAATTGTGTTTTTGTAGTTCAGTTTACAAATCTTCTTCGGCGTTTGGCGTACATTGCAACAAAATATGATGTGACTCAAGATATTTTCCAAAACATTGTGGATGAAATTGGTTTTCCTGGGTGAAATTATATTTAAAACGTGTTTATATATCCTTCACAGAGCCTTGTAATTAGCAGATGGTTAGCCTGTTAGGTGATGTTGTCCTTTGACATATTTGGAACAAATCCAGTAATATTTTGGGAAAGTTAGCATGGGAAATTTCATTTCATATTTGCATTGGCCATCATGCTGAAATTATATCTCCAGTGTTTGTGTCCTGGGAAAATGAGGCTGTTTGTTTAGTATTGTGGTGCATCCAGTGACCAATTTAAGTAAAGCTGCTGCAATATGAAGGATGCATTCAGGTCGAAGTAAAGTGAGGTTTCTTTTTTATTGCATCTCCAAAAGTGCTCATGTACTGAGGTGTGTGTCCTTTAGCATCTCACCCACTGGCCATTTTTGATACCACAGTTGATGCTGGATAAGGAATAATGGCCAGCTGTTCAACTGTGGTATAACAGAATTGACAAATCTTTTCTCATCTTCTTTGCCACACCTTTAATTTCCAACAAGTCCAGTGTTTGGGAGATCACTTATTATACTTTCTGTATCATGGGAAATCCTTAGTATGGGGGACATTACTGGGATCCACTTTCTGGACTCTCTCAGTACATCAACTAAAGGACAATGGATTGAAACACATAATGCTTTGAGCACTAAATCGCTGTGTGGGTGGAGGTGGAGGGGGGAAAGCATTGTCAGTGGCATTGGACCCACTGACAAGAAAGTTTGTCAGATCAAGCTCCAATCAGGTAGTTCAGAGCTGACTGCCAGACTTCCCAGCGAATCGGTCCTTGATGCTGAAGTCCCAGCTCACCAGAGCAATTAGAGGCTCACAGATTCTGTTTTCAAGAGTCCTTTTGAAGGTCTAGCTGTCAGGAGATCAAATGGTGAGAAAGTAGGCCATCTTCTTATAAGTAAGGGGCCACTGGGGACTGTCTTTCAGCAGCCATGTCAGTTCCCCCAACTTTGCCCCTTATTGGTATCAGGTCAGGGCAAATGGAGACCTCCTCATCCCTTCTACCAATCACAACCTGAAACTCACTGCCACTTTCTAAAGAAATGCAAAATAAACAAATTTTAAAAAGCAGCCTCTTTTCAAAGCTGTTGGTGGATGTTCAAGCCTTTAACTGGTCAGTAATTGACCACTTAAAGGTCGAAATGGACTTTGTTGTGTAGCACTTATTTGCTGAAGTGGGCTAGTATCTCTATATGGCCAATTCACTCAATTATTTGCTCTTCTTGCTAATCCAGGGAAGACAAAGTTGCAGCCACTGTGTCCTAGTTACAAAACTAGGGTACAAACTGCTGGTGGTGGTGTTCTGTACAACATCCCACTGCCAGATGATTGTTGTCAATGCAGCTGGAGTTCTTAGCTTCAAAAGCTTGGCTGACTAGGATCCCGATCTGCAGAGCTCCCAAAAGAATGCAAGTCATCATATGTATTTATTTTTGACATCAAAGGTACAATTGGTATTGAGTTTTCCAAGCGATTAGAAGTACATTGTTTAAATCCCTGTTATTTTCATTTGATAGATATTTATTTGGCACATTTGTATGTTCTACAGCTTACCAGCATGAGTTGAGCAAATATGTTAATTTGGTTATTTGTTTCTTGTAGGTGTTGCAGGTGTTCTTGTTGGGCATCCCTTTGATACAGTCAAGGTGAGGTTGCTAATGCATTCTTGCTGATATCTAAAATGTTAAACATACCTGAGATCTATGTAAGTTAACAATTCTAAAAGTGTTACTTTGTAAAAAGGAAGCAAATATTTTCCAATACAGTCTTGATAATCTAGTCAACAGCTTTATTTTCAGATACAGCTTTCTCTAATCAATTATATTTAATGTTTTCTCTCAGACTCAATTGTAACAATATTAATGTTGGCTTTCATTCAAATACTTTCAGCCTATTCAAGGTAATGTTTATCTGATTCGTTGTACCATTGAGAACCACTTTTAACTATTAAATTTTTAACTACTGTTCTTGATGGATTTTGACCTCAGATTTGACCAGAGGGGATTGGAAGTCATTGAATGAAGGAACATTCAGTTTCATTGAAATAAACCAAGTGGTTATTTCATGATTCTTTGCTTGATGGATTGTGGTTTGTGGCAGAAATATATGGGGTTTGTGAAAAAGATACTTTTAAATATATTATTTTAATGGAAATAATTTCCATGATTATAGTGGGTTATTTTTGTGCGTGTGGATAATTAGAATGAAGGGTCAGTTGGAATTAAAAGGCTGCATTTACACTTGTGGGATCATTTCATAGGAGCCAAATCCATATTAAACCAGGCTCCTAATTTCCACAATTTTCCATCTTTAGTTTAAGCAACAAATTTCAGGGCAGTAGTGGCAATAGTTTAAGAACTGAATATGTCAAAGATTGACTAAAGCTTTAATTGCACCTTCAAGGAAGCGCACATGGCCTGTATTGCAAAAATTAGACTGCTGGCTTCTTCATGGTGGTATATGAATCTGATGCTTCCTGCATCCCCTGCTTACATCTGCTTTCAGCAGACCAATGGGAAGTCACCTCCTGAGCTATATCTCTGTCCCCAGAAGCAATAGCACCATCTTATTTTTACAGCAGCAGCATTGTAGTGTAAATGCAGCATAAGGTAAAGGGCAGGATACATGATTTTAACAACAAGTGTTGGCCATTAGTGTTCCCCAAGTGAAATGGCTCTAAACAAATGTTTATTGGCTGCCTCAAGGCACTAAGGACCCGGGTTCAATTCCAGCCTTGAGTGATTATCTAGGTGGAATTTGTACCTTCTCCCCGTGTTAGTGTGGGTTTCATCAATGTGCTCTGGTTTGCGCTGAAAGTTGAAAGAGGTGTGGATTAGATGGATTGGCCATACTAAAAATTGCCCCTTAGTGCCTCAGGATACGTGGCTTAAGTGGGTTAGCCATGATAAAAACCCCATGTGGGTTACAGGGATGGGGTAGAGGGTTGAGTCAGGTAGGATGCTCTTTGGAGCGTCACTAAAGACTCAATGGGCCGAATGTAGACTGTAGGGATTCTATGATTCCATGAATTGTTGAGTTCACTCCACATGCCTGCTAAAATGTGGATCGTTAATTACAGTACTTTGCAGCAACATTTTGCAAATTAGCCTCATGCCTTCAAAATTAGCTTGCATCTGCCATCAGACCAGTATTTAATATAGATCTGCAGACATAGGAAACCCTAGCTTTCTACCATTTTTTTTTTTAAAAAAAGACATTTGAGTGCAATGCATGAGGAATTAAACATTGGCATGTTATGGGTGGGCTGTCTCCGGTTGCATTTAATTGTGGGTTCTTCATATAAACAATGCTGAATTTGTGACTGTGCTGCAACATGTTATACCACTGCATTTGATGTATAGCACATTGGTAGTGGAGACACTGGCTTATTCTCCTCTCTGCTGCAAATTTGCAGGCATCAGCTGCAGTACTATGAAAAATACTGAGCAGATTCTGGCTGCTCCCTCACAAAGTTTGAGGAGTAATGAAAGACAGACATCTCTGAGCTGTGTCATGCTTCACTGCGTTTGTGATAGATTGACAGTTGGCTGAGACCTGAGACCAGATAGCTCAGCCACAGGATTTACTAAGAAATTATAGGGGTGCTGCGAGGTGATGGAAAGATCCATAGACTCCCAAACAATTATGGCATTTAATTTGGCATTGGGTTGGAATTCAAATGACTGTGTTTACTCTTTGACTATAACTGGCATAATATCAGTGTAGGTAAATGAGAGATCAACATTATCTGATTGTGTTATGTTTGATGGCTGCCAGAAATTTTTAGCCAGGGTACTGATGCAATTATATTGGGTTAGGAGCCTCATTTTCTTGCTATTTTCATGTAATATGTGAAATTCGTTTCGTTTAACTACTTTTACTTTCTGAGCTAGGGGCTGTCCTCATTAACAGCAAAAGTGTTACTTTGTGATGAGAGATAAGCCTCATCACGGGATTCCTAGTAAGTACAGAAAAGGTGAATTTATACATTCTCAGTTTCTCTCCAGTTTGACTATATACCAAGTGATTATCACTTTTCAGAAAAAAAAAACTGGAGTTTTAAAAATATGTAGCATGTTTCTATTTCTTCTTATAAACATTGCAGAATGTAATTTTTAACAAAGTAGCTGTAGAAATAAATGATTGTTAATTCATATCAAGCTTTGCTAAACCTGTAACTGTGATTGTGGTGGTTGATTGTGGAAGAAAATGTTATTTTCATTCCTGCCAACCAAATCTCTTCCTTTGCTGTAAGTGTGTTTGTTTTGTAGGTTCGACTTCAAGTACAAAATTCTGACCAGCCACGTTATCGTGGGACTGTACATTGTTTCCGGTCCATTATCAGACAGGAGTCTGTAAGTAGCAAGCATGTTCATTTAGATTGATTGATTGATTGAAGCAGTTTATCAGGGGAGTTATAATTCAAGTTTTTTTTCTGGGCTGTTACACCAATGCTGTCACACCACCTCTAATTCCTTGAGAGTAGATTACGACTTAAAAGTTAAGCGTTTTCAAGGCAGTTTTCCCCACTATTTAATTTAATCAGACATTCCAGTATTGTGGTAGGATTCTTTTTATTTCACCTACAGTTTTTAAACTATTCTTCTTTTCAGGAGTTGGGCTTTCAGGCTACTAGTGTTAAATTTCACAGATGTCAGGCATAAAAATCTTTATTACTATGCCTGCTGGTTAACTCTCATCTATAGCAATTCGATGTATAAGGAATTGGCAGCGGAATGGAACACGTGGACAGCCCCAGTTGCAGAATTATTCAAGATACAGTGAGTTGCTTGGTCTGTTCCATTTAAAACAGGCTTGTGGATATTTTATTCCTCTGTCCTGTTTCCTGAAGACCATTTAATAGGTTATAACAAGCCTTTTAGTACCTCAGTCATCTCACATTTATGTTAGCTATTTGATGAAGAGGAGTTTCATAGCCAAGAACATTGTGCATAGCTGGTAATAACACAAAGTTGAACATTCTGGCAGGAACTATTGCACTGAGTATGAGCTGTGAGTCAGTTTTGTACCGTTGCCTTGACCAATTTTAACCAACTTCACATGGCCCAGAGATCAGGCTTGGAACCTTGGTAATCTGTGTGACTAACTGATGCATTTCGAGAGGAGGTGGCAGAGGGGGGAGGGAACTGACTTGATTTTTTTTTTCCCCTAAACAGTAGTGCAGGTTGGCTGCCCTGAATACAGATAACCTGCTTGTTTTCATGCTGCATTAACAAATCTGTTTTACTTTGTGATGGCACCAATTGTGCTGCAGACCCACAGGCTCACATTCTTTTACACAAATCTTGCTTAGCCTCAAATTCCTTTCCCACAGCTTTTGATCTCACAATCTGCTTATTTTCCAGGGTGGAACACATTGTAAATCTAATTATACAGTTTCATTTTCAAAGACTGAGTGTGCAGTCAGAAAGGACAGATAATATTCACAGTGTGCTTTGAGCATTCTCAAAGTTTTGATTTTCTATTACTATTCTTGCTGAATAGCGTAGTACTCCCATCTTGTAATCTTCTCTGGTCCTGCAGTCCTCCAAAAGGTTTGTGCTCATTCATTTCAGGCCTAACTAGCATTCCTAATTTTAATTGCATATAGGCAGCCTCTGACGAAAACAGAGACTGCTGGAGAAACTCAGCAGGCCTGGCAGTGTCTGTGGAAAGGAAAATAGAATTAAGGTTTTAAATCCAGGACTCTTCACTTCCAAAGAAGAGTTATATCAGTGTTAACATCTCAAGCTTGATGTAACTTATTTGGAACTGAGAAGTCTTTGGATTTGAAACCTTAATTCTGTTTCTGTCTCCACAGAGTTTCTCTAGCATTTTCTGATTTTATCTCAGATTTCCAGCATCCACAGTATTTTGCTTTGATATAAGAAGCCTGAGTTCAGCTGTTAAGGTCCTAAGGTCACAGATTTCCTCCTGAAACTCTTTGTCACTCTTACCCTTTAAGATACTCCTTAAAACATATCCTTTTGACCAAACTTCTGGTTAACTACCCAAATATCTTTCTTTGTGGCTCAGTGCAAAATTTTTTTCAGTAACACTTTCGCAAGGCACCTTTGACTCCTTTGCCTTTAAAGTAGTAAAATGTAAATGTTGTTATTGTCATTTGTTATTTGGCAATTTGCAACATTAACATCAAACTGTAGATTTATTTGTCTGCATACACATTAACCTTGTTTGTCCAGTCCACTATGCACTAGGTGAGCCAGTGGAAGAATAATTGAAATGGTTTCTGCTTTTCTTATAGTCTTTATCTTTTGGAGTATGAGCTCCAAAGTGGTTTCTACAAACCTGAAGGGAGACCTCACATATCCCTTCCTATTCCCTTCAACAACTAAACACACATGCATCCTGATCAAACAACTTGTTATAAATCCTAATTGAGGTTTCCAGTAGAGAGTAACAGTTCAAAGAAACCTAGTGGGCTGTAAGTGTTATGATCATACTGCTCGCAATGAGAAGCCAAAGCCATTTTAGTGGTTGCAGCACAAGCAGCAAATGGGTGCACGAAGACAGCTTGCTGGAAAATCAGTCAGCTCGCACTGGGCTGGGAGGTTGCCACACAAGGATTGAGAGTACATGATTTTTTTTAAGGCTGGGAGGAAGTCTGGTGATCTTCAAAAGTAAAATCCAAAAATAATTCGGCATATTTGAGCAGCCATTCAGGTTTCCTTTAAGGGTCAGCAGATAGCATGCATCATTTGCCAGTGTTGAAGAACATGTATCAGGAGCCTATAGATTTTTTTAAAATTTATACTCAGGATGTGGCCAACACTGGTTAGGCCAGCATTTCATGCCCATTTTAATTGCCTTTGAGATGGTGCCATTGATCTTTCTTCTTGAATTGCTGTAATCCATTTGGTGTAGGTACTCCAGTAATGCTGTTAGGGAGGAAGTTGCAAGATTTTGACCCATAAATACTGAAGGATTAGAAATGTATTTCCAAGTTTGAATGGCAAGTAGCTTGGAGGAAAAACGTGCAGGTAGTGGTGTTCAGTATAACTGCTCTCCTTGACCATCTAGGTGGTACAGTTCATGGATTTAAAAGATGCTAACAGAGGAGCATTGGTGAGCTGTTGCAGTCCATCTTGTAGATGGTATGCACAGCTGCCACTGTGTCCCTGTGGCAGAGGGATTGAATCTTGAAGCTGTTAAATGAGATGCCAGTTAAGTCGGCTGCCTTGTCTTGCATAACATTGAGCTTGCTGACTGTGTTTTTTGAGCAGTAATCATCCAGGCTAGTAGGAAGCATTCCGTCATATTCCTGACTTGTACCTAGATGGTGGACAGGCTTTGAGAAATCAAGAGATAAAATACTTATGGCAACATTCCCAGCCTCTGGCCTGCTCTTATAGCCACCAGGTTCTGTCAATGGCTCTGTGACCTGCTTCTTTAACTCTGTCAAAAATCTAAGATGCAACCGATCTGGGCCTGGAAACTTCTCTACCTGGAGTGCTGCCAGCCTTTTCAGCATGGTAGAACATGGAAGGGAAAGGGGTAAGGCAGGATGGACAAGGCAGTACACTACAGTACCTGGCATGATGAGGCAAAACTCCAAGCATGGGAAACATCAAATCCAATGAGTTGTCCAGGATTGCTGCGAAGAAGTGAACATGAAGAATGTGGGGGTGAACCAGACTGAGAGGCTGACGACAGGACTTGTTGCGTCAAGTGGACCTGCTGTTTCGTTCTATCATGATGCAAATATGAAGTGCACAGTGCAGCTGAAACGGCTGCAAGCTCACTGAGTGGACAGAGTAAGGACTACCTTATATGAGGGAAGAAACTCCACTTTGGAACAATATAAATCCCTTCAAAGGGCAATCGCATACCGTACAGATGAAAGCCACCTACAAGCAAAATGCGCTTTTTGAACCTTGGGCAGTAATGTACTGTGTGGAGTTTAAATCCATGCCCTAAGCAATCTTGACTACATCTTATCAGGAATCAGTTTCACTAATGGCTGTGATGCACAAACAATGTATTGCAGCCTACAAAAATTCACTCTAGTTGCCAGAATAGCAGTCACCTTCCAAGGTCTCATAGCCTGGACATGGTGCAGGAGCTGCTCGCTTTGCATCTTGGACCATTAAACCTAATGTAGCACTAAGGATTGCTAGGATCGACACCTTCAATGTTGCACTTGCAGCTAGAAAGATAGTCGCTCACACAGCTGATGATGAGCAGCGAATATATATTTATAAATGTGAGAAAGTATTTACAATGAAGTTTCGCCCATGCCATCTATGTGCCCTCAGAAGGTGATCTTTCTTTGCCTCCCACCACATCTCAGTGTAGCCCCAGGCTCCACGGCTGCAGGGAGAGAGCCTGCCCTGCACTGGAGCCTGTCGGCCTTGGAGTTATGGCCACGTGGCCCCAGGAGTGGTTGTAGCCAGGAAGCTGAGACATGCTGAACATGTCCAGTCCAGAGGCAGGTGCACCCTTCTCAGACTGCCTCAAAGCTGATGCTGTCAGGTGGGCTGGGGTTGGAAGGCTCAGATACCTCAAGTGGCCTGAGAGGAGCCTTCCAGAGGGCCTGGATGTGATTCCTCTTCTGGCTGGGTGTCTGCTTGTCAGAGTCCCTTGATCCTTCTGTTGCCCTAACTTGCTGAACAGCAGTGACCAGAGTGATGCATGCAGATCTAGCAGCCCCTGAGGGTACTGGACCTGACTGTCCATGGCATCTGCTAACCTGTCCATGGAGGCAGACAGACACTTGCATGCCAGAGGCAGCATGACGCACACAGTGCGATGGAGCGCTCCAGTCTTCAAGCCAATTTGCCTACTGCCTCTGACAACCCTGCCTGCTGCTCCTTGTGCATTTCATTGAAGTTCTTAATTGTTGACACCGTGGGGCCCTCGTCTGAGCAGGGACCTGGCATCCAGTATTAATTCCAAGTCCTAGTAGCCTGGACATTTCTTCTTCTTTTATCAGCTGTGGAGATGGGGCAGTGATATGCTCACCAGCATGTGTTCCTGACTGTAACTGAGCTAACATTCATGCCAAGGTGTTATTATCTGAGCTGGTGGAGGGTGTGGGAGACAACATGGCTACTGCATCCTCTGAGGGATCTGTACTCTTTTCCTCCAAGATGGAGAAGGGGATTGAGGTGCCATTCTCTTGGCCATAGATTCCATGTTAAACCCACTCATACTTGCAGGAGATAAAGAGAGAATGTGTTGCGAACAAGGGTTAGGGGTTTTGACATGTTAAAAATTACGTTCCCTCTAATTACTTATTCTACTACACCAATCATGAGATCCATGCATTGCAACAGCTTCCAGAAGTGGAAGCAAATGCAAACCTCAGAGCAGCTACACAACGTAGAAGATGCTGGTTCACAGTAGTGTTAATGGGAGAGCAGCACAGCAATAGACAAAATTTCTTATTTGGTGCTGGGACGTGGTGGTTTTTACCATCACCACATGACTGACCAGGACCAGGATGGTGCTTCTGGATTTTTACGAGCTGAACACTCCTCCACACAGCTTGGCTGTCTCCACCGTATTGTGGTCTGCTTCCAACTGAAATGAGAGAAAGGGAGGGATTGAGATGAAAGTGGCTGGTACAGCTGTTAGTGCTGTAGGGGGAAAGGTGGTGATCCATTGTGGGTGAGTGTGTCAGCAGTGCAGAGGGCATGCATGATTAGTAGCTAGGTGGGGTGATTGGCTTCGCGAGAGCAAGTAAGGGAAGATGTTGAATGTAATTGTGAGAGCACTAGAACATGATTCTTGACAGGTGCTAGAGTGAGAGCGATGTAGCAGAGAGGAGATGGTGACATTTGCCCTGGTGGAGTGGAGGAAGTCACTGACATTTTGTGAAATCGCTGGACATTCCCATGGACTGTGAATACGCACTGACCTGGGTAGTAATCTCTGACCAGGCTATTTGGGTCTGGTGTTCGGTTCTCCTCTGTCAGTCCTGGTGGGCAAGGACGGTCCTCCTCTGTGCCACTCTATCCACCAGGACCTCCAGGTCCCTGTCAACAAAGCTGGGTGCCAGTTACCCCTCTCTCAACCATTTCTAGAGGAATTGACATAAATTGTGCAGGGCAGCTCTGAACTGAGTTCTGAGGAAGGGTCACTGGACCCAAAACGTTAACTCTGTTTTCTCCTCCACAGATGCTGCCAGACCCGCTGAGCTTTTCCAGCAACTTTGTTTTTGTTAGCTCTGAACTGACAGTGCTTGACCTGGTGCAAAACTGTGTTTTTAAGTATGGGGTCAGTGCCACAAATTGAGAGAGGTCCTGACAGTGGCAAGTAGGACAATATAACGAAGAGGGTGCCATAGAGATGTGGAAATGAGGCAAGTTTGGAAAAATAGCATGAGTAATCTCATTAGGCCTTGCGTGTTTTACGAGACCTGTCGAAATTGACCCTTAGCAAATTTCGTTAAAATTCAGCCCTAAGTTTATGAACATTCTAATTGTCACATTGCTAAAATGTTAACCTTTTATTTTCATCTTTTGTTTTTGCTTTAGATCTTTGGTCTGTACAAAGGTATTGGTTCGCCAATGATGGGTTTGACTTTCATCAATGCTATTGTTTTTGGTGTACAAGGAAATACAATGCGTTACTTAGGAAAGGATACACCACTTAACCAGTTCCTTGCAGGTGCTGCAGCTGGGGGTATCCAATGTGTTATTTGTTGCCCCATGGAACTGGCAAAAACCAGGATGCAGCTTCAAGGCATGGGTGAATACCAAGTTAAAAGTAAAGTCTACAAGAATTCACTCGACTGTTTAATTAGAATTTACAAAAAGCAAGGAATCCGTGGAATCAACAAAGGCATGGTGACCACTATTTTCAGAGAAATACCTGCTTTTGGTTTCTACTTCCTTACTTATGATTGCCTGACCAGAGCCTTACACTGTGAGCCCGATGACAGTTACGTAATTCCTAAACTGCTTTTTGCTGGTGGTATGTCTGGGATTGCATCTTGGATTTCTACCTATCCCATAGATGTGATTAAATCCCGAATGCAAGCTGATGGAGTTGGAGGAATAAACCAGTATAGTGGCATTATGGACTGTATCCGTCAGAGTTACCAGAAGGAAGGATGGCCAGTGTTCACAAAAGGGCTCACCTCTACTCTACTCAGAGCGTTCCCTGTCAATGCTGCTACTTTTGCTACTGTCACACTCTTCCTTATGTACACAAGGGCTGATGACGATTGCAAGGAGCTGGAGACTGCCTCCACAATCCAGCAGCATTCAAGCCTCTAAAGCGTCTTCCTTGTTACCTGTGCAGAGCAGCTGCTGTGATAACTCAATTTTACTCAATCCTATTTTTGTAAGTGTACTAAAGTTATGAAAATGTTTCAGGGTGTAAATAAGCTCCATGTAAGAATTAATTCTTTATATAGTCATAGGTCTAACTTTTAACAGAATTCCATCAGTTTTGTGAGACTACAGCTTCATGCCTTATATTAAATGAATGTATATATTGTATTTTAGTTTATAAACATAGTAAGAAAAATATTACTTTGGCTCATTGCAGTAGGCATGTACTGTACAGAAACTAATTAACAGGGTTGGTTTTAGAGTCATAGAAAGCACAGAGGGTCCAAGTTTGGAAAAATGAAGATTTCTAATGAAATTGCAGTACATTTTCACTTTTTCCTGAGAGTTGTTAATGGGCAATAAGGAACTGGCCACCCCTTTACACATGACCTATTTCCTCATTTCCATGGAAGTGAATGGTAAATCAGGTACCAAATATGTAGTACTAGCAGTCAATCCAATATAATGTTTCCCACCTGGAAGTAAAAGTAAACTTTCACCTCTTTAATATGAATAAGATGCATGCAGCTAAATCAGTTTGTACTCCATTTTTAGTCTGTGTTTTCAGCACAGTAGGGTAACTTTATTGGTGATTAATGCCTGAATTGTAACAAACCCTTATGTATTCAACTAAATAGGAGTTAAGCTTTCACAGAAAACAGCATTTGAGCTGACATATTAAGTCTTAGTGTTTCACCCATGCTAAATAACAAAAACTGTTAACCTCAGTACTTAAATGGCTGTTGAGCCTTGAATACTTTGCTCACTATGTGGCACATTTATCCATTATTACTGTTGTGATAAGTCAGGATCTTGCAGGCTTTTGCCCTTTCTTTTGCAAAGACCTGATGTAACTTGAATAATCCACACTTTTTAGCCAGTTCTATTCTGCAAACCAATCAGTAACATTTTATTATTATTTTTACAGTATTTTTCCCAACTCCACTAATTTCCTACTGTACTGATATGTTTCATAGCCCTTGCTCCCTCATCACAAAGTGTGCTAGTACAGTATATACAATTAGTTTTACTAGGAACCAATCACTTCACAATTGAGTTTTCAGAAATTTGTACACCTCTGTCATTTTGATACGTTGTGACACCTTGTTCATTTAATTATGATTTATGTGCAGTACACTTGTGGAGTTTCCATTTTTTATTTTTTTGTTGTGATGTGTTGATGAGGAATTGTTGCTGTGAATAAACCAATGCGGCAGCTCACCAGTCCTACAGGTTGCTGAGTTAGTCAGTTCACAGATGGATAGAAAGTTACTATATCAGGGTCCACGTACACTATTTAGCTTTCCTAACACTTAAGTAGGTTCTTCAGTGTTGCACTATTTTGAGTGCAGTATGTGCTGTAAAGTTCCTGAAATATATGTTGCTTCTCACCTCTACAGAGGTTGCAGTGTTGGAAAGCCTCACAGTGGGAGCCACAGTGTTGACATCTTGGGGACAGTTCAGCCACATTCATAATGATTGTTACAGCTAATATGAATTAGTATAATTGCGACTCGAAACAGGCTGGATGTTCAGATTCACTATCCAATGATCTGTGGAATTAGAAGTCACTCTTATCGCTTCAGTTTTGTGCAGCAGGTCCTTGTGTCAGTAAGCTTCTGGCATCTGGGTGGAATTTGAAAATAAGTCCAAGCAAGTTATTTTAAATTAAGGTGTATAGTGTATAGCTGTTTTACGCTTTACTGTTAAGGTAAAATTTTAAAGCATTACCAGTTTCATCTACCAAAGGATAGAGGTTTTTTTCTGTTTGAAGGTCCAGCACTCCTTTAAAGATTACTGTTATGCATGAACTCCCACCTGCCCATCTTTATGCAATTTCTGGAAAGCATATGTTGCCTTGGTTAACCAAGGTGGTTACGTGGCATTGAATGACTAATGACGGGTAGGGATTACAGAAATCCAAACTTCTCTGTAAATTGGGACAGGTGCAATACATATTGGTCTGAGATGCTGATCAACAAAGATTCTCAATTTTGCACCATTTCCAGGATTTTTTTTAATGGGCACTGAACACTTTATTTCACAATGTGAGAAAAGAGAAAGCATTTGTTCGTTCCTAGCACTATGATCAACTTTCTCACTATCAAGCAAATTGCAATTTCAAAGTGAGTGTTTGAATCTGGAAACCTTGAATGTCTATATATTATCTGAACAATTTCCATATCAGAATTGAAAATGCATGTTTGATTAACAGTACAGTACAGCTTTGACTTTTTGGTCAATTAGTTTGTACTGTGTATTGCTTGTTTCAATATGTTTCACGTCATGTACCTTACTATGTAAAGTACCATAGGGAGACTGTAAGGAGAAAAAAGGGAAAATAAAATCCATATTCAGATTAAGTTCATGTTAATTTTGTTTTACTTTGTACGTTTGAAGATGACAAAATTCAGTGCTTCACATTTGTTTCCTTTCACAATCGAGCTCGGTTTTTCAACCCTCTTACAATGTTCTGCATTGAAATGAGATATCACAAGATTGAAGTTGTTTAAAAACAGACTGGCAATTTCACTTCAAACAGAAGAATGATGTTGTAAATTCTCTGGGTGACCTCCTTGTCACTGAATTCAGTATTGCTTTACTGCAACTTTAAAAATCACTTTAAAATACATTTTGCAACCAATTTTATTTATGCATGAAATCTTCAAGCCCATTATACATATCTTTATTTGATATAAAGACATTTTAATTATGGAAATCTCGGTGCAAGAATTATGGAATTATGGAATTCAAAGTAATAAAGGAAACTTGCATTCATATTTTGCCTTTAATGTAGGAAAAGTTTGCAAGGTGCTTCACCGAGGAATAACAAAATTAAAGGATGCCAAGCATTGGAAATTTTTGTGTCGCTGACCAAAAGCTTAATTATTGTAGTCTTAGGGAAGATCCACAGGGTATTGAAGGGTTTAGGGAGGAAACATCAAAGTGCAGGTCCCAGACCGCTGAAGGGATATCATGCCCAAGTCATTGGAATTGTATGATTGGAGTGTATTGAATGGGATGGTGGTAAGTTGTACACCAGAAAATGATAGGAGGTTGGGGAGCAAAATAGCACTTGTCAGCACTGCAATTCAGACAATATAAGCCCCCTTTTAAGATGGTATTGAAAGCATACCAATCAGACAGATCATGACGATAATAATACCAGCAGCACTTAAGTCACTTAGGCTGTCTAGGCAAAAACTTAGTTTTATTTCCTTTGGCAGGAGAGCACCAGGCAAAATGAGTACACAAGGATTTCAAGGATTCGCTAGAAAAATAATCAGCCTTTGCCATTGCCTGTTAGGCAAGAAGCTGAGGAGCAGGACCATGAAAGGGAGGAGACATTGGAAGACAAGGAAGAAGTCAATTAACACTCTCCTATTCCTTGCCATTCCTTTGCCCACAAATGACCTCTTGTTCATAATGGGAAAAGTAAATGCCACAACAGAATAAACATTGTAATGCAAATTTATAACTTGGTTCATGTTGTATTGCATACAAAAAATGCTAATTAGCCTTATGCTATTCCTCAATGCCTTCTGTTATATATTGCACTAAGACCAAGAAATGCTCAACTTGGAAGCCAATATTTGACTAATTTTGTTTAGATCTCCCCAGGAGAGTGTATCACCTCCCTAGTATAACAACATATTCAGCCTTACAATATACTGCATTCATTCTCCACTTAACAAAAGTACAAAAACATTAAAAATCAAATGGTTAAAGTAAAATGCTCATAATTTCCCAGACTGCATTATAATCATGTGCATTGCAGAAAACTAACACATGCTCGGTTCCAGCAGTCATTATTGAACTAATTTTATTTACATCTCCCCAACAGCAAGGGAAACAGGTTAGTGTAACAAGATGCTCATCTGTTGCAATATACTATACTCCTACCCCACATAATAAAAACAATTCAAAAATTAAAATATAAAGTGGTACTTGTGCTTAATTTCTAAGAATACAAAATGGCAAAACTAATATCAATACTAGCTAAATTTAACAGGTTGGATTGCATATTTGCCTTTGGGTTAATCACTCTGAAAATGAGTACACAGAAAATGCTGGAAAAACGCAGCAGGACTGGCAACACAACTGGAGAGAGAAACGTAGTTACAGTTTCAAGTCTGTTATGACTTTTCAAAACCAGAAGTGTTGGAAAATAGATTATTTTTATACTTCTGGCAGAGGACAAGCAAGAGGGCAAATAGTGTACAATCCTAGTGCAAAAGGCAAAGGGGTTGTCAATAATGAAGAAAATGTAAAATTAGTGTAAATTAAGGTACAAAAGAGAAAGAATTGGTCCTCTCTACGAAGTACAAAGTGAACAAGACACAAATATGACACAGCTGTGGGGGAAGAGAATGTAAGAAAAATGGAGGACAGACATAATGCGGTCAGTTTCTAGCTCACTTTGTTCTACCAGCAAATTCTATAATACCAGCAAAGTTTCAGTTCCTTTGTGTCTTATGCTTTCTTCCTAAATTTCTCTTGGAAATTGTAGGAGGAACATAGACTGCATAAAGTCAATTGTGCTCTTTTATCAGATTTACTCTTTCAGGCAAACAGTATGCATTACACAGACTCTGTTGCCAATTCACACTAGACATAAGAATGCATTTTGTCACTTTAAAACAATTTACATACTTTTCTTTGTCATCTCAGCAGTATGTCACCACAACCTTCTTAACAACTCTCAAATCTCTTAAATTTCATTCCTGATACTAACATCATAACTCATTTTCACTTTGTCTTACCTTTCTCTTTTCTATTGATGTGCCCTTAAATCATGCCTTAAGGATACATTTAACTCATAAAATGAGCAAGGTTTTATCCATAATGGGCATAATTCTGGAAAAGCACGAGAATTGACTAACCTAAGTTGAAGAGAACATGGCAATTACTACCTAGCTTGTCACCTAACAAACAGTTATGCCAAGACTGTTTCAAAAGCTGTACAGTGCACTTCTTTGTGTAGCACTATTTGATGCTAAGGTGATGCGGAATTAGAGTGTTTTCTCCATTTTTACTCTGGAATATTTCAAACTCTTCTAACACAAACTGTAGTGCAAAATCTGACACCAACACATCTGGCAACCCATAAATTGCAAATCAGCTCCTCAAAATCTCAAATCATTTTATCACTTGTGCTATTGACCAAAGACTCAACAGTTATCCATTTGCTATCGGTACTGACCTATAGCACTCATTTCCTTCCACGTTAAAGAAATTGACATGGATTCTTTTTGACAGTTTTCATGTGTTTGACCAAGGAAAGAAGGGGATTTTGGTTAGGTCATTTATCATTTTGAGATATATCTCACAACATCTCACCAACTTTTTAATATCCCTGTCTACCGTTGAATACCAGAAATAGCTTCTTGCTAATCCATTCATACAGATAATCCTTGTGTAGGTTTGATGAAATTATTTTATCAATCTGTCTCTAAACACTGGCGGAATAATGACACTTAAACCCCGTGAGAGACACTCAGTTCAGGTTTGTGTGAATTACTCCTACAATTTGTCATCATTGCACTATTTAGATCAGTCACTTGTGACATAATTGAACATGTTAGTGAATAACAAGCATTTGTAAGTTTCTTCACTAATTTCTCTAGTGAACACTGGCATGTCACTAGTCAGCTTAAAAGTGAATCAGTACTCTGGTCACTTATGATATTTAATTTTGATGGCTGGTCAGTATGAGATTAACTCCCATACCTGATGCCATACTGCAGGTAAGAATGTACCAAAAATCTATGATTGGTCAATCAACAAAGTGAACTTTCTATCATACATTTCTATGTACTCGTGAAACTTAGTTACATTATATATGATCACTTTCTTTTCAAGTTGTGAGCAACTTTGTTCTGACTTCATTAAGCTGTGTGAACATGTTATAGGCTTTCCAATTTTCTGATTTGTGAGCCCCTGTGGTCGGGCGTGGAATGCTAAAACCAATTGTTTTTTTGGAATTACAGTGGATCAAGACAGCATCACAAGTTCACTTCTCCAAATGCTTTGAGGTACCACAGACCACTCTTGCTTTCACTTCAGAATAGTTGACACAGAGAAGAAAATCTATTTGCTGAAATAGGAATGAATTTAGAACAATATACAATATTCCCAATGAATTTTGTAAATTATTCATTATTCTCATCTCTTGCTTTCAAAATCCCCTCCAATTTCTACTGCATTAAACAGCTACCTGCACTACCTATTTGTTTAAGCTTTTAGCTTTGATACCATACTCAAAGTTGAGCTAGGATATTGTTTGACCTTATATTGTGCTCTTACTGTCTTAGAACAAAGAACAAAGAAAATTACAGCACAGGAACAGGCCCTTCGGCCCTCCAAGCCTGCGCCGATCCAGATCCTCTATCTAAACCTGTCGCCTATTTTCCAAGGATCTGT